GCTCCTAGGTCTATCCAGCTTTGAGTGGGTACCGGGTGCAGCCCCTGGAGGTAAAGGCGGCTGGCCGATTGGTCTATTAAATATAGCCACAACCCTATATACCCTTTACACCTAAGAACGTGGAAAAGGGTCCTTTGCAGTCTTTGGTTATATCATGAGAAGGAGAAAATTGGAAAATATCGTAACAGTAGGAGTGTTAGAGGTAAACAGAGGCAGAAGAAGACGGAGAGAACAGATGATGGACATCGTGGCTGGGAGGGTCATCTGTGTCAGGGTTAATTGAAAGTACACGAGACAGAAGGCTGTGTATAGATATGACTGCCAATGCAACACGGTACAGCACCTCATTAGGAGCGGCCCCCAACACTTCTTGTTGAAATCACACCAATGGCCTTTAAATAAGTTCTCTTTTTAAGCATTTGTTTATGTTTCATTTTCCCCAATCATATTTTTTTAAATGTACTATTTAGCACATAATATTAATAACAATATTAATAGTAGTAGTAGTAGTAGTAGTAGTAGTAGTAGTAGTAGTAGTAGTAGTAGTAGTAGTAGTAGTAGTAGTAGTAGTAGTAGTAGTAGTAGTAGTAGTAGTAGTAGTAGAAGTAGTAGTAGTAGTAGTAGTAGTAGTAGTAGTAGTATTAGTAGTAGTAGTAGTAGTTGTAGTAGTAGTAGCAGTAGCAGTAGTACTAGTAGTAGTAGTAGTAGTAGCAGCAGCAGCAGCAGCAGCAGCAGCAGTAGTAGTAGTAGTAGTAGTAGTAGTAGTAGTAGTAGTAGTAGTAGTAGTAGTAGTAGTAGTAGTAGTAGTAGTAGTAGTAGTAGTAGGAGTAGTACTAGTAGTAGTAGTAGTAGTAGTAGTAGTAGTAGCAGTAGTAATAGTAGTAGTAGTAGTAGTAGTAGTAGTAGTAGTAGTAGTAGTAGGAGGAGGAGGAGGAGTAGTAGTAGTAGTAGTAGTAGTAGTAGTAGTAGTAGTAGTAGTAGTAGTAGTAGTAGTAGTAGTAGTAGTAGTAGTAGTAGTAGTAGTAGTAGTAGTAGTAATAGTAGTAGTAGTAGTAGTAGTAGTAGTAGTAGTAATCAATAGTACTATACTGTGTTTTAAAAAAAAAAGAATTGTTATCCGATAGCGCGTTTTTATTAATTTGTAAATAAGATATCGTACTCGGGTATGTGAAAAGCTGACTCAAATGTTATTTATCATGTCCAGTGGACATGTGGGCGTGAATTGCGTGGGTTTTTATAATCGTTACAACGCAGTGGTCAGTTGTGTTTAAGACCATATTTGTGAGCATGGCTCACAATGCGCGCACGAGAAAGCAACACAATTTGCGGTGATCTTTATTCACTCCCTACGCAATTTAAACCATATAAAAGGATAACGCTACACCAAAACGATCACTTCATTTTCAAGCAGTCATGAATGGCGCCTCTATCGATAAATTTCAGGACTATTGCTATTGGCCGATTGCAGGCAGGAGAAAGTCAAAGTCATGTTGCCAGGCACCAAAACGTGCATCAGAGTACCATCAGTCGACTTTGACACCGATTTCAAGCCACTGTTTTAGTTGAAGTCCGACATTGCAGTGGATAACCCAGAGTGGCAACAGCAGCGGATAATCGCCTTATTCGGTTTCGTCACCTCAGAGACAGGTTTACAACAGCTTCCTCAACTGCACAGGCATTGCCTCATGTGTATGATCAAACTGTTCGGAACAGTCTGCATGATGTTGGAATTTGGGCTTGACGATCACACTAAGTACCTGTCCTTACGCGTCGCTATCACCAAAGTCAACTTCTTTGGGCCAACCAACATCGTTCCAGGGCAAGTGAAAATCAGTGGAGACATGTATGGTTCAGTGACAGATCTTTCTTTGTGTTGCAGCGTCATGATAGACGGCATATGGTCTACCGTAGACGAAATGAGGGTTTATCCCAAAATTGTGTTGATGAAACTCTGCTGCACCGTGGTGGAGTTGTAATAGTATTGGATATGATCAGTGTCAACGGAAGGAGTCAAGTACACATTAAAGGAAGTTTGAATGCGCAACGATACGTCCATGAAATTCTTCAACCACATGTCCTTCCATTGTGGGATGCCAACATATCTTTTTCAACAGGACACGCCAGACCCCATTCTGCACAGCTGACCACTTAGTTCCTGGCTGCCAATAACATTCAAACCCTTCCATGGCCATCCCTGTCTGCAGACATGAGTCCGATTGAGCACCTGTGGGATGAGCTGCAAAGACGTGTTTGTCGCCGAAACTTTGCTCCAGCCAATGTTGGTGATATGTTCCAGGAACTCCAGGAAGAGTGGGCAGCCATTATATAGGCCCACATCGGACATCTGATCGCATCCATGCACAGGAGATGTCAGTCACTGATTAACGCAAGAGAAGGCCACACATCATACAATCGAGAAAGGCCTACGCTTAAGAACTATGGTGACCCAGATGCAAAGGAAAAAAAAGGTGTCAACTGATTGACGGAACCCTAAGGTATTCTTGTGTAAAATGTAAGTAATTTCTCTTACTGGATTACAAAGATGCAGAATTTCAAAATGGTGAGTATGTTCCTTTCAGTTACTATGCGTTTCTTTCCTTTTTTTTAAACAGTATAGATTTAACACAAAACATGAACTTAAATGCCGTGAGTGCCACTTCTCTAAAAATGTCTCAGGACGATAGGCTTCAAAAAGTACTTGTTTAATTGCACAATAATAATAATTATAACAAAAAGTGTTATGATTTTTATTATGTAAAAAGTAAAGTAAAGTACCCTTTTCCACTCCTTAAGGCGTATAGGGCATATAGGGCTAGACCTATATTTTTATAGACCAATCGGCACAAGAAAGGGTGATGTGGTCAACATCACGCCGGCCGCCTCTACTTCCCGGGACTGCACCCGGTACCCACTCAAGACTGGGTTGACCTGGTGATTGTTTTTACTATAAGTTCAATAAGACTTGAGCCCGTCTCCCCACCCTAGAACATTACTGGGGGGGGGGGGGAGGGTGGGAGCGAGGCGGTCAAAGCTTTACGTTCACGCTATACAGCTTCACGCCGCAGCTAAATACTAATGTGTCGCGACACACACAGCATGGTAAGCTCTGACCAGAGAGTTGAGTAGTGAACTGTTTGTTGCCAGCAATCAGATGCCTAGTCTCATACTGCAAGTAGTGGACAGGAAGCTAAACAGGCAAAAATGGCATTGCATGCGTTTATCTCATGACAGTCAACAGAAATGTTCCAAAGTCGATAAAATACATCAAGCCACCAGTCAGACAATTACACTGAACAAACTCGACCGTGGACTATTTAATGTTGCCACAGAACCACCCAGAGTTTTGGACCCAGGTTACTTTTTTCATGCATTGAATAGATACTGATAATATGGATTGTTAAGTTGTGATATCTACATGGTAACGTTGTAGTTTACAGAATAAGTAAATGTAGCAATGTTTTTTTTTCCTAGGGGAAAAAAGTATGTGTCGGTACTTACCACAATGGGTCTTACATGTAGTGCCATGACTTACGACAAAGTGTCTAACACGTTGTGCCAGGACTTACCACAATGTGTCCAACAGGTGATGTCATGACTTACCACAATGTGTCTAACAGGTGGTGCCAGGACTTACCACAATGTGTGTAACAGGTGGTGCCAGGACTTACCATAATGTGTCTAACAGGTGGTGCCATGATTTACCACATAGTGTCTAACAGGTGGTGACATGACTTACCACAAAGTGTCTAACAGGTGGTGCCATGACTTACCACAAAGTGTCTAACAGGTGGTGCCATGACTTACCACAAAGTGTCTAACAGGTGGTGCCATGACTTACAACAAAGTGTCTAACAGGTGGTGCTATGATTTACCACAAAGTGTCTAACAGGTGGTGCCATGACTTACCACAAAGTGTCTAACAGGTGGTGCTATGATTTACCACAATGTGTCTTACATGTGGTGCCATGACTCACCACATTGTGTCTTACAGGCGGTGCCATGACTTACCATAAAGTGTCTAAAATAAGGTGACAGGACTCACCTCAATGTGTCTAATAGGTGGTACAATGGCTCATCACAAAGTATCTAAAATCGGTGCTAGGTGAACTGATGTATAACATGGTAAGTGTTGTCAAAGATCTTTGGAAAAAGGTGAACTGATACATAACATGGTAGGTGTTGTCAAAGATCTTTAGGAGAAGGTGAACTGATACATACCATGGTAGGTGTAGTCAAAGATCTTTAGGAGTAGGTGAACTGATACATTATATGATAGATGTTGTCAAAGATCTTTAGGAACAGGGGAACTGATACATAACTTGGTAGATGTTGTCAAAGATCTTTAGGAAAAGGTGAACTGATACATAACATGGTAGGTGTAGTCTAAGATCTTTGGGAAAGGTGAACTGATACACGCATGGCAAGCTAGATGTGGTCAAAGGTTTTTAGGAGAAGGTGAACTGATACACGACAAGCTGGATGTGGTCAAAGGTCTTCGGGAGAAGGCGAACTCATATATGACAAGATAGATGTGGTCCTAGGTCTTTTTGAGAATGTTAACAATGCCGAAGTACAAACAGATCCTTAAGATCTGAAGTGAAAGATGCAGCGGTAAAAGACCAGCGGGTCTTGTCAACACTATACACTATGAGGAAAGACAAGGCGAACATGTAAGCACACTGCCACTGGTACCATCGGAGTAGGAGCTCTGCGCTGGCTGCTGAAGGTGGAGTCAGGGCGCTTATGAGGATGTCCAGACTGCTATGATGTTGGTCCAAAACGAAATTGCTCACATCACCTCTTACATTTATTATGGGCTTATGAAAACACCATAGGATTTTCCTTTTTTTCCCCCAACAAGTTGTGTATCTGACTTTTGTGGAGATGAAAACCTATAATTTTGTTTTCCCATTACCCTTAAAGGTTATTAACTATGACCAGCTGGGACTGAGAAAGTCAATTTCAGGAACTCATTGCTGAACTTGACCAAACACTTTACAATGGCCGCTCTTTTGTTCTACGGGTTGTTGGGACCAGCAGCCATACTGTGTGTGGCAGCGCAGAAGGACACAGTGAACCCTTCCGACAGACCCATGAGTAAGTCCAGGACGGAAATGGTAGAACTTCTGGCCAAGCTCCAGGGACACCCAGCGATACAGAATCGGCTCAGTCCATCGTCTCCGGGAAACAAAGTGAACATTTCTGTTGATATTGTTGTAAAACAGGTTAGCTTCTTGTCTGCTCACATGGTTTAGTTGATAACTTAACTGCGTTATGTATAATCATTGGGCTCTGTGGCTAAGTCGATGCGAACGCTTCGTAATGCGGGGTGCCGGGTTCGATCCCAGCTGCGGGCCATGCGTCTTGCGTTGGTTTCGACAGTGGTATCAAGAAAGCCGACCGTCTAGAAAGCAATGGCAAACTACTGGACGTAGATTTGCCTAAAAAAACACACAACATCCTGGGCCTTTGGGGTTGGTTCTGCAACGTCCTGTAAAGGATGGGCAACTAACCTAACCTATGTATAATCTTCGAGGAGACTTTGAATAAAAACCTGAAATGGATAACAGAACGCTTGTCAAAAGTGGGGCGGCCATCTTTAAACATACTTTACGACGTCACTGCATTCGTCTGTACCGTCACGTCACGTGCTTAACACTACTTAACAGCAGCATTGTCAGTTTTTAGGACAATGACATCGTTATTGTAATTTCCAGCATACTTTTGAGGTTTTCATTTTAAGACTTCTTGTGTTTCTATGTGTGTTTGCGTATACATGTGTGTGTGGGTGTATGCGTGTGTGAAACTAATAGAATATAAAGCAGGAGATGTATAAGAGAAGTAGCTAAAGGGAGAAGAGAAGAACTTTTAAAAAAATGACCTTCTGACTTCAAGACAGGAAAGAGAGAAAAGAAAAGGCGAGATTTTGCAGGATAGAGACCCCAGCAGAAGATATCTCGAGCCAAAGCAGTGGTAGCTATAGTGTTCTACAAAAGACACTAAAATTTATAACCTTAACAACTATAAAAACAATGCAAGCTAATTTCTAACAACTAGTCATAAGCTGGTTAAAATGCAACAGTTATGTTTACTTGTTTGCTTGTTTGCTTGTACTCCACCAGGACATCACACAAGCTATAAACACCCGGTGAGACAAGTATCAAAATATAAAATACAATCGTGAAAACTGACAATCGCACTGAATTCTCCGATACGATGACAGGCAGATATCTGAGTTCCTCGACCATACATTGCAGCCACTAGTCGTTGGTCTCCCGTGTTATATCGAAGAAACCAACCATGCTATCTCTGTCTTTCAATCTATCCGGTTCACCTCTTCTTCCAATTACCACATCTTCACTTTAGATGTTTACCCTCTCTCTATATGTCTGCTCCAGATTCTGATGGTCTCAAGGCTTTGTGGTTCTTTCTAGATCGTAGAGTCAGTCCTGCTAAAGCCATTGACTATTCGATACGTCTGACCAAGTTAGTGCTCACTCTCAACTCATTCGAGTTTAATGACCATTATTTTAACCAGTAATAGCAAGGTCCCATCTTGGTGCACATAGCGTCGATGTGGGCACTAAGATGGTACCTAGCTATGCCTACCTGTTCATGGGCTACCTCAAGAATCAGATACACCATGTATATACTGGTAGGCTCCCCGAGATCTACAGAAGGTACATTGATGACTGCATCAGGGTCACCCACATGCTCCTACCTACTGTATGAGTTCATTCATTTTTTTTCCTCCAACTTTAATTCCAGCTTCATATTCACTTAAAGAATTTCACCATCGTCGGGGCATTTTCTGGATCTCACTGTCGCCTTGGATTCTAAAGGTCTCAGCACCTCGGTATACTCTAAGCCTACCGATTTCCATGCTTTTTTTTTTCTATAAGTCCTCTCATCCCTCTTCTTGAAAGGACGCCATTCCTTTCCCCCCAGCGTCTACGCCTCCGCAGACTGTGCCAGGAGAACGACACTTTCACCACAAGGCCCTAGAAATGCTCAGGTTAAATCATGGTTGAAAAGGCGTCCGGCGTGATGTTGACCACATTACCTAATGAGTGCCGATTGGTTTATAAAAAAAATGTAAGTCTAAAATTGACCTAAATCGATGGATCGATCAGTTTTGCCCCTTCGGACAGCTACCTCAAGGTTTTACAACAGCATTTTGAGTTTTAAAATCTAAACTTGACGGCAGACCAACAAGTCAGATGCTAAATACCCCGTTCAACCTTCAAAGAAGTTATAATTAGGGCACCGGTAACGGCTACACCAGACACGTGTAACCTGCGGTCCTTTGCGGTTAAAGGTGATTGACGAGAAAGGGTTCTTTACTTTATTATGCACATATGAGGCCCTTATCAGATACCGTCGTTGGCTAATGAAGTGTTAGGTGATCAGTTTCTCTGCTGGTCATTTTTTTCTTTCTAGAATTCGCGACATCTGGTACCATTTTTCATTTTTGCTTTTTTTTTAAATTTAAATTAGGTTTTGATCCCAGAGACGCACTGGTCCGAAACAAAAAATCCGACCACTTTTGAGAAATGAGTCCATTCTACCATTTGTTTCGAGTGAAAGATTAATGATGCAGTTTACTATTTAGCTGTACAAGTCAGTTGAGACGAAAGTTCACCAGTTAAGGCTGGCTGTTTATCTAATCATTTCAGGTCTTTGGCATTGATGAACTGACGCAAATCATTGACTCTTTCGTTCACTTCCGGGTAAATTGGCATGATTATGACCTCACGTGGAACCCACAAGAATTTAGTGGACTGGAGCAGGTCCATCTGGATAAAGACAAGTAAGTAAATGACCCTCTTCATGCCCGGCATATACAAGGCCCATGGTCGAAGCCACATATTTCATAGGTCATGGGTCTTGTCATCAGCAGCACACTGCCGTTTGGATTTTCCGCGACATTTTCTACCCTACAAGTGACTTTACTTTTGCTCCAGAACTTGAATTTTGCTTTACAACCCGTCTTACAGATCCGGCTTATTTGTAAGCAGACTGTTGATTCCTCCCTTCTGAGATAATTGCACACAGACTTCGAAGGAAACAATTAGCCAACTGCTACGATATGCTTGTTATGTTGAGGAGGGGCAGGGGGCGGGGTGGGGAGGGTTGATACTCCCAAATTTGGGTCCTCTGAACCTACACGAGGTAGTGGACGAACAACCCGAATTTTTGCCAGCGTTTTCCTCTATTAACTGGGTTGTCTCTGTCAACTGAATCGGCAATAATCGCGAGGGATGGGTAGTAAAAGCAAAGTACAGGTCCATTTTATACGCTTTTAGGCGTTAGGGCATATAGGGCTAGACCTATTATTTTACAGACAAATCGGCACAAAATGGGCGATGTGGTCAGCATTACGCCGGCAGGACTGCACCTGTTACCAACTCAAGGCTGGGTCGACCTGTGAGCCAAGGTCATATTTGGAAAAAGACCGGCGCCGCCAGAGAGCGAACCCACGACCTTCCGATCCGCGGCGAGCGTCTAGCCGCTCTGCCACTGCGACTCCCGATGGTTGGGTAAATGAATAAAGTCTATTTGGTTTTTGTCTTACAGAATATGGTACCCCATTCTAAACATTATCAACGCTGGAGATAGTGAGTCTTTTGTAATAGACGCCGATCAGGTGGTTAGTCTTTGGTACAACGGAACTGCCCAGTTCCACTCGACCAAGTTCCTTAAATCGACGTGTAACGTGGACCTCACAGACTACCCTACGGATGTTCAGAAATGTCAGATCAATGTTGTTCCATCAGTCGCAACCCCGGATGTGTGGATCGAGCATGGGCAAACAATTGAGACTCAAGAGGTATGTTATAATTTTCTGATAATTTTTCTTCTTTCTTCTTTCTGTCCTATTTGTATTCATCTTATTTCTATGGGTTTAACGCAACACACGGTTCGTTATTATTTATTTAATATTTGGTCTGGGTATGCAGTAAAAATCTGACCAAATATTGTGAAAGTAGCACTGTGATTTTTGTGCCCAGATGGGTTTCTAATTTGAATCTATGTGGGACTGAAAGAGTTCATCTTAGCGCTCATGTGCTATAAATGACTGCAGAAAGTCGTGGTTGTTCATCTATATGACGACGTTGGTTTTAGGATTTAAGTTTTGTGTGCAAACATGCGTTTTATAGATGTGGCTTTTTGTGTGCAGTCTGCTGGTCCACTGACTTTGAGGCGGATGTATTCCGACTTCGCCAAAAAAGAAAATCCTATTTAATTTGACCAGCTAAGCAGTTGGGAATCTGTCTCTATGATGACCAGGGGGAGAAGCAGATGGATCGGCCAGTATGAGTCTTTTTCTTGGAGTACCATACGCTTTAATCAGCAACTGTATAAAATTGTAGATTAATTTTGTAAAGAGAATAAATTAATCGGGTGTGTCTATTTACTTATATGATAAATTGTGGGGGTCTTTTAGTGCAATAAATTTGTGATTCTTCTTAAATAAAAATTAGTTTCTTTAACTATTACCCTGGAATCGAAGTTGATCCTCTATCCTTCTTCTTCTTCTTTCGTTCGCCTGAAGTAAGCTGTCTATATCATCAATTGTGTCTCTTGTAGACATTTCACTGCCGATGTTAGTTCATTCAGTGGTCCATAGAGTTGACATACCACTGTTGTTCTTTCTGGTCAAAAAGTTTGCCCTAATGTGTCAAATTCGGTGCAGTCCTGAAGTACATGCCCTACTGTCGGGGGCACTTTTCCACAGGTACACATGGCTGATACGCCTATCTTGTGTACATGTGGTTACGTAATCGGTTGTGCCATGTTCTGAGCTAATGACTACACGGCTTTATTGAAATATATAACTATTTAATCAACGACTTCAAACTCACCTACTCAAACTTACCTACTCAATCTGTTTTATTTATAATATGCAGGGACAGTTTGAAGTGAAAGGTGCATGGAAGATTGTCAGTAAGTCCACGGAACATGGAAATACGGCGAGATATTCCTACATCAATGTTCATTTGGAGCTCCAGAGGCGAGGATTGTTCTACGCAGTGTGCCTGCTGCTGCCACTGTTCTCCACATCCCTGCTGACGGTCTTCGTGTTCTTGATCCCACCAAACGCTGGGGAGAAGGTGTCTTTCCTGGTCTCTATTGTCCTGGCTAACACGATGATGCTGAATCTTCTAGGGTAAGTCTAAACCAATGGTAGGCAGGAGTGGTCTCAGGGTATAGTGTCCGCCTAGAGTGTCGGAGGTCACGGGTTCAAGGCTGGGACTTTTTCACCTGGAATTTTGGAAATTTCCCCTGGTCTCTTGGTAGTTTATCGGACGCCCGTGTGTATTATGGCAAGGTAAAATATCCCTTGACAGTTGGAAATCGATAAGAGTAGCCTAACGGCGCTGCCCAGGATCTATTGGGAGTTTAAAATCTACCCAAAGTATTTCAGGATCCTCGCAGGTGTAACAAAGTTAGTGCACTGGGCTGAGATACCTCAGACTTAGGCTTGAGCTAGAAGTAGAACGGAGCACTTATGGGTTACATTCGTGTGCTAATATATTGATCCGTCGAATAAGCAAACAAACAAAACCTATTGCCCGCTGGGGGATTTCTACTGACCTATGAGGCTAGGTAAACTTATAATCTTTTTACTCTCACCTTCCCTCACTAACATGATTTCTGCAAATGACCAATCTGATTAAACACATTAAGGAATAATAAAAGAGCTTCAGCTGGTAAGTGTTTCTGGCCAGAGGCATGGCGAGGGATTGTTATCTTAGATTATTTCACACAAAATCAGAATAAAACCAGATTCTCAGTTCAAGATCTACTTCTTCCTATTCTCTGGCTGAAGGTTCTGGTCTTTTGTCTATTTGTGGATTTTACTCCTATTTCAGAACATAGGTTTTACTTGCACATCCGTTTTACAGATCAGGCTTATGTGTATGCAGACTGTTGATTCCTAGTCTCTCAGACAGATGTACTCCGACTTCGATGAAACCCCCATAACTAGTGGACTCTTACTTACAGCAAGCTTGCTAGGGAGGTATTTGGTCTACTCACCCCCGCCCCACCCACCCAACCCACCCGACGCCCAGTTTCCTCGACAATGGGTTCTCAGAACCCTCACGTGGAGTTCTGGATCAGAAAATGATTTTTGAATATACCCAGTTTCTTGTTTCCATATAAAACAAATATGCACACATATCACTGAATATGATGTGCCAACTTACCACAGGACAACCTTTACAAACATCAGAAGGTAGATTATTATCGTGCTGTGTCCGTGTAATGAGAAGAGATCTTGGAACTGATCAAAAACAAACAAACAAATTTGGAAAGAAATACGGAAGACAGTGCGAGAAGATTCTTGACAGCCTTTTGTGGTAGCACTGCGGGCTGTCAGCACATCTTCCGATGCATGTTTTTGGAGATCGCAGGTTGTGAAAAGGCATGATCGCCTACGTCAGTCAGCAAGGCTCTTAATGGTTCTAGTTTTTAGATCAGAAAGTTCTTGTTTGTATAGATAAACATATCAGCTCCCTAGTTCTAGGTTAAAAATGTTCACACACACTACACACTCACAGACACACACACACACACACATATATAAATCTGATTTATAACAATGCCCGCTTAAGTTATGTGGCTTTCTATATAGATGGCTCTGTGCTAAGAGACGGAAGAATTGCAGGGGATTCACAATAAAAGCAAATGGACAACTCTTGGTGCAAGAAAGACTGGTCTATGATAAAACATCTAGTTGGAGAATAGAGGCAGAGTGAGTCACTGCAGCTTTCTGTTGACTGGAGAACCGGCTGCATACGCACGCGCTCGCGCACACACACACACGTTTGTCATGATTTTAGAGACTGACAAAATATTAGGGAAAACGTGGATACGTGTGTATAGCGCACGTAGCTCCCGAAATCCAGGACAGTTAGCGTCTTCTGTGTTGTATTATATGTTACATTTACGTGTACTGGGAAATGAATAGGCAGACAGATTGTATGGGACTGCACCATTTAGTGGTGAACTGATGCATGACAAGCTAGATGTGCTCAGGGTTCTTTGTAAGTGAGTTAACAAGACGGAAGCACGGGTATATAGATTACCTCGATCTGAGGAGAATGGTGCAGCGGGGAGTTATCAGAGGGGTCTGGCCGGCTATCTACACTGCGAGAGAAAGCAAGAGCAACATACAATCAGAATGGCACTGGTACTATCTCACCTGGTATCCTACTAAAGCTGCTGAGGTTGTAGAGAGTAAGGTGCGTATCCTTTACAGGACGTTGTAGAACCAACCCCAACAGTTATTTGGCTGTTGTGAAATTTTAGTTTAGTTGTTTGCTATTGCTACTAAACTGTCAACTCTCGGTACCACTGTCGAAACAAACGCAAGACAAGCCGTCCGCAGCTGGGATCAAACCCGGCACCCCGGCATTACAAAGCGCGTTCGCAACGCCTAAGCCACAGACACCGTCTGAGGTTGTTGAAGTTAATGGGATATCCCTAGCGACGTGATATCGGTTTTAACTCAACTTGTATGAATATATGAAAATAGTACATTCCGGAACCCACGGTCATGGAGTCGATATGGGCTCGCTTTAGGGTCCGAAGTTCTTGTTATCCATCAATTGGAATTAGCGATAATTGACATTAATCCCAGGTCACCCCACCCTGAATGGATACCAGGAAATACTTTGGGAAGTAAATATGGGTGACGTAATGCTGCCCGTAACGTCTATGGGGTGTAGAGTAGTCTGTTAAAAAATTCTGATTTAGTAAGTTATGCTATATGCTCCACTAGCATCAAGAGGGTCCTTTACCTGTGCTCTGAATGGGTAGAAAAAGGTTGTTGCGTATCCTTTACAGGACTTTGCAGAACCAGCCCCAGCAGCCCCTGGCTGTGAATGGGTAGAAAGCATTCGAAAATCAAACTTAACCTCCGTAACCTAGATCTACACACCGGGTCATGCGGACGTATAGGGAAATGAGCGAGCGGACCATCTGGCAAGTACTGCACTAAGGATTGCGGGAAAAAGCAGGGACAGAGCAGATATTGTCAACGCTGTACGGACTGGGCTAGTGGATAATGAGGAATCACTGACACTATCATGATTGCGTGACATGGAAGTAAAGCATGGTGAAGCACATCTATGCCGTCTTCGAGGCCGAGGTAGATTAGAAGACAATATAACCAGCTTCTCATGGGAACAATTAGTAGAAGTATTTTGAAGCGGCTGCTGCATCGGAGGACTGAGCACGCATGGGAATGCCCATTTGCAGTGACGTCGATTGTGATAACAGAAAATAACATAACATCTTGTAGGGAGTCGGCAGTCCGAAACCCAAGTTCAAGGTGTCTTCTTTGTGCCAAAGAACTGCATGGCTTTTGGGTGAACAGTCGTTAACGAAGGCAGTCAGGTCGTTGTAGAGGCAACGCTTGCTGGTGGTTGTGATGTCCCAAGTCCCTCTCCAGCTAATAGTGAGGGTACTGCTGGGGTGACCGTTTATTAACCCTCACATAATGCTTCAGGTCAAAATGGACGCTAGGCTCCATTTATAGACTGGAAGGATATAGTTTCGTTGCCCAGCTGGGAGCTGCGGATTTCATTTGAACGGTGATAAATATTTTGTGTGTTTTTCGTTGGCACAGGAGCGGAGCAACTATGGGGTGACCCGTTTGCTATGAAGCTGAAACTAAGTTTACCAGATTACCAGATTACCTTTATCTGTGTCGTCCTCGTTTTCTTCGTCCACGACAAGAAAGTGTTCGTACATCCAATTACCTATATCCACAAGTTTGTAGCTTATAGAGCATCTATAGATCCATGTGAGAGCTGTTATGGCAGGTTTATTAGGATTCATTCTTATAACGTGGCCAAGCCATTTCCATCTTCTCTTGGTTATCATACTGTCTAGAGTTTCTTGGTTTGTAACTTGAAGTAGTCATTTGTAATATATAGTAAACATTAAAACAAAATAGGAAAGTAATTCATTTTTCTTTGGCAATGGAAAGCGTAAACGGTGATTCCAACCTTTACATACACACCTTGCCTGGTTCCCTATACACATATACTGCTGTACTATGTTCCTGTTATAGTTCCCTATACAAATATACTGCTGTACTATGTTCCTGTTATAGTTCCCTATATAAATATACCGCTGTACTATGTTCCTGCTGTAGTTCCCTATGCAAATATACTGCTGTACTATGTTCCTGTTATAGTTCCCTATACAAATATACTGATGTACTATGTTCCTGTTATAGTTCCCTATACAAATATACTGCTGTACTATGTTCCTGTTATAGTTCCTTATACAAATATACTGCTGTACTATGTTCCTGTTATAGTTCCCTATACAAATATATTGCTGTACTATGTTCCTGTTATAGTTCCCTATACAAAATATACTACTGTACTGTGTTCCTGTTAGATTTAAAATTGCCAATGTTCTATCTGACTTTCCGTTCACCAGAAGCATCATACCCCACAGCATTGACAAAATGCCTAGTTTTCTCCTCTTCATCGTTGGAGTCATCGTCCAGAACTTGTTAGCGTTTGTCTGCACGCTAATCGTAATCAGAAAGCACGAACAGGAGCAGACAACGGAGGCACATGGCATGTTTCAAACTGCGTCTCAGCTGGGAGCACAGCTGAACAACTCAGACCAAGCTTTCACAGATCCGAGACGATTAACCTCCAAGAATGTCATTTACTCAACTGGTAAGAGCTTTCAAAGAAGCGTAAGAACATCCTCAAATGCAGTAAGCCCTGACTCAACGAGTGCAGCGACCAGCGGTAAGGAGGCTCAGTCTTCATCCAGAGGCTGCTTTCCGTGTAGAACCAGACTGAAGGATTGGTACAAGAAAGTCATCTCCATCCGAGCCTCCACACTGGATACAATCTTTTTCATTGTTTTTCTGTTGGTGTTTCTTGTATTTACAGCTATTGTCATGATTTGATAGTCTGCTACATATCGGTTTGAATTGTACTTGTCTGAAGCAAGTTACATAATTTAAATATATAGGAAGTATATCATATGATACCAAAACACTGTGCTTCTAGTGCCAGACTTGGACATTATCACAGGCTAAACCTGCGTAAATGTAACACCTGTGTAATTCAAAAGCCTGAGAAAAGCCGCCAACTTAACCATACAAGAAATGATATTATCGGACAAACTGTAGGAACAACACCATGTAGCCAATTCCTTGAGAAACATAAGATGAAATGGTTTGGTCATCTAGTAGGAATGCAGCTAGAACAGCTACCCACGCAGGCGCTACACATAAAAGATCTGAAGTGAAAGCAAGAGGTCGCCCCAGGAGAACATGGACTGATCACATTCAAGTGCTTTTACATGGATACGGAACGACAACCAGAGCCACTTCTTCCCATCAAGCAATGGATCCCAAACTGCTCCTCCTCAAGAAGCCTTAAGGCAGAATTGGAGATTGATGATGATGATGATCGTCATTTGAGGCAGTATCATCATTGTCATGTGCTTTTTCAGATGATCTTGGTGTTCACGACTCCTGCAGAAGTGTGTGTGTGTGTGTGTGTGTGTGTTGTCGATCAGTTCGTTTCACAATAGTCCTCCGTGCTTTGTCTTAGACTAGGCAAATTATTTCTCTTTCTTCTCCGTGTATGTTCCAGGTCCCCATTTTAAGGGTAACACAGATAGAACGACTGCACCCAACAAGCATGTCATAAAAGGCTACTGATTAAAGATGTGTCCTTAGACGTCGCAGTGCGTAGGCATGAGAGGCGAGAAGCCAACAATCTGCTCAATATACACAATCTGCTCAATACTCAATATCTGTAAAACGAATGTGCACGCAAAATATAAGTCTTGGAACAAGACTAGTTAGACAAACTGCCCCTTAAGAAGGCAACTAAAAAAAGATTTACTGAAATTATGTTGAAAAGGGCAAACATTTCAGGGTAGCTGTTAACCATAAGACAACGCTTCAACCGCCTTTTTTTTTTTTTTTTTTGTTTCTCACGATGAATACATATACAGCATTGTCTCTTTATTTTTCCATGATAAACAAGACTTGATTGCCTCATCGTCAATTTTGTGTTCTTTATAAGCTGACCCACACTTTTTGAGGGGTGTCCAGGTGGTCATTCTTCAAAGCACACTTGTCCCTGCAGCGAGGTGATGTCATCGTTGGGGGTCGGCGAGGTTGGGAGATAGGTTCAATTCTCGGTAGGGTCTCTATAGCTTTCGATTTTTATATTGTCTAGTGTGTCATTCTATCTCTCTCCTTTTTCCTATGAATGCCGAATAACAATATACATTTGTTTATTATATATACTTTTCCGTTCTGTTGATTTTTTTTTTCGCAGTTGCGATTCTAGGTAAAAAGTTAATGTGTATTTATTTAGCTATTCGTGTCACTGGTATTGCTTGAATTGTGAGTGATTTGTCCTTGATAAAGTTTAATCCAGTTCGCTCGACTGTATAAACAATTAAAGGAAGAGTTTCGCCGAGGTGAACAAGTCTGAGTTTATCAGTGTTTTGCAAATATACATTTTATAACGCTTTATTGACTGGTAATAGAAAACAATGTGAAAGAACTTTGCCGGACAAATTGACGCATTTTGGAAACAAATTAAATAATAATAATAATAATAATAATAATAATAATAATAATAATAATAATAATAATAATAATAATAATAATAATAATAATAATAATGTGTCCTTGACGACATATACTGACTGTGTCAACATAAATTTCTAAAGTAACAGACTAGACAGGTAGCAAATGTGTTTACCCCAAAAAAAAAATATATATATGTGTGTGTGTGTGTGTGTGTATGTGTGCGCGTGGGTGTGTGGGTGGGTGTATGTGTGGGTTGGTGTGTGTGTGTGTGTGTGTGTGTGTGTGTGTGTGTGTGTGAGCTATTTAACGCTGAAATAAATATGGACTTTTAATTACGCAATTTCAAAACTTTTTAAGGTACTGTTAATTCTAACATACTGAAGGTAAGAGAAAAATAAAACGAAAATTGCATGCAGTCGAAACAAAATCAGAGGACATTCAAGAACATTTAATGGGATCAATCAGAGAAAGGCTAAGAAACAAGCGAAATATCTAGACAGCTGTTGGTACCAACAATTATGTTATTCGTCCATCACGAGGAAGTATTTCAGAGTTTTGGCACTGCGCTGAGATTCTTCAGACTCAGGCTGGAGTTAGAAGTAGAACGGAGCACTTATGGGTTTACACCCGTGTGTCATTATGTTGATCCGTCGACTAAACTCAACTAAACCTCGTGTGTGGCGACTCGTAGCCATACAATTATTGTCGTTGCCACTTCATAACTTTAGTGAAATATGTGTTTTCCGATGCTCGTTGACGACCCATGTGGAAGGGTCGTTCGACCCACAAGAGAGGTCGCGACCCATAGGTTTGAGAACCGCTGAACTAGAGGCACTCTAAAAGGGCTGTCTTGATTGGCCATGTTACAACTAGTAGTTTTTTTTTTTTTTTCAAACCAAAACGAAAACCCTATATGATTATAGCTGGACAAAGAACGTATATTGTTATTCGACAACTACGGTTGCTATCTTCTGGCCCCGGACAAACGTTACTTTCACTATTGTTATCCTAAAACATTTGGTACAGAAAGTAAGTGTTACTTTTGCTAATGTTATCCTTAAACAATTTTTTAACAGAAAGTCAGCGTTACTTTTGCTAATGTTATCCTGAAACATTTGTTACAGAAAGTAGGCGTTACTTGGCTAATGTTATCATAAACATTCGTGTAGACAAGTCTGGTCCGTACTAGTTAAAATAATAACGGTGTAGAAGAAAATGAGTTTAAGTAAATACAGTCAGATACTCAGACTCACAGAGAGAAAAGAACGAGGAGAAATTAGAAAGAAAGAAAGAAAGAAAGAAAGAAAGAAAGAAAGAAAGAAAGAAAGAAAGAAAGAAAGAAAGAAAGAAAGAAAGAAAGAAAGAAAGAAAGAAAGAGAGAAAGAATCAAAGAAAGAAAGAAAGAAGAAAGAAAAGAAAGAAAGAAAGAAAGAAAGAAAGAAAGAAAGAAAGAAAGAAAGAAAGAAAGAAAGAAAGAAAGAAAGAACAGAAAGACAGAAAGACAGAAAGAAAGAAAGAAAAGAAGAAAAAAGAAAGAAAGAGAAGAAAGACAGAAAGAAAGAAAAAAAGAAAGAATAAAGAAGGAAAAAGAAAGAAAGAAAGACAGAAAGACAGAAAGACAGAAAGAAAGAAAGAAAGAAAGAAAGAAAGAAAGAAAGAAAGAAAGAAAGAAAGAAAGAAAGAAAGAAAGAAAGAAAGAAAGAAAGAAAGAAAGAAAGAAAGAAAGAAAGAAAGAAAGAAAGAAAAAATGATTACACATTTAATATCAAACAATGATAACAGAGACCAAGGGTGAGGTCTCAACAGAAATGTGCACCAAAATAAAAGGACATACTCCCCACACGCGTCACACACCCGCTGGGCGCCCGCGTACGAAAGCGCGCTCATGCAAACACTCACACGCACGCACGCACGCACACACACCCCACACAACGCGGCAGTGGGAGATATCAACAGCTGTTAATAATCCTCCTACACTCAAAACAACGGAATCAAGCCCGCCAGTTCAAGGGGTCACACTTTTACTCAACACCCGTGACCTGAAGGGTCAAAGGTGACAGCAAACACCAATTGTATTCAATCGTTCCTTTCTGTCATTTGTCTTCGCGACACCATCCCCCTCCAGTTTCCAAGACATCTGTCTATTAGTAGGCCGCCGGTCTTTCTATTTCTAACTTCTTCTTCGATGTAGCCTCCCTGAGAGATAGTCTTTCTAAAGATGTGATTATTAAATAAATGCAAAGTGCAACAAAGAACCTCGTTGGAAGGAAAGACAAGGAAATAATTTACCTTTTTTTCGACCAAAGTCTTTATCAACGAATAAAATAACATGCATTCTTAGGAAAAGAAACGGTTAAAGCATTGCCAGTGAGAAGTAATCCACTTGACTAGGACAAAAAATAATAATCTAAGTTATGGAAACGCAATGTAAAGACAGAATCCAAACTGGCAAGAATCTCAGCGGGTTATGTAATGAAGTGCTGGTGCATTTTTTAAGACAGTTACTGGCACCATCGGAATTGGAACCCTTCGCTTTCTGCTGAAGATGGGTACTGGGCCCTTATGGGAGTGTCTCGAGTGCTATGAAGTCGATTCTTAAATCAACATTCAACATTTGAAATTGCTACTGGGATTACCCGACTACACAGACCAATTATAAAACTAGCTAAGAACAATGTTAGGCACAGTACTGGTAAATGGTTTCATTGAACATTAAAGAATCAACCGGTTTGGTCATCTGGTCAGAATAGAACATTATCAGCCAGCACATATAGCGTACTATATGAGAACAGCAGGTTACAAGGCAAGAGGCCGACCAATAAAGATGTGGGTAGAGAGAGTAAAGGATTCGTGATTGAAACTATTGTCCGCAGGGCTTTGTGGCATATGCAGTAGGCAGTAGATTCGAATTTAAGACATCCGAACCTCCAGGCAAACGCCTATTGAATTTTATATTATTTTATCACAGTCGACTTCACCTCAGAGGGGAGCATTTCCACGACTGCTCAGTCCTCTGATGCAGCAGCTACTATAATATACTTCTACTAACTGTTCCCATAAGAGGTTGGTTATAATGTCTCCTATCTCGGCGTTGAAGGAGGCATAGACGTGCTTCACCATGCTTTACTTCCATGTCACGCAATCGTACTTGTGTCAGAAATACCATTAGTATCGACTAGCCCAGTTCCGTACAACGTTGGTTTTAATGTGCAAAGGCAGCTACAGAGAAACAGAAAGTGGCACTGGTCGACTAAAGTTAACCTTTATTTTAGAGTGTCTGTGTTTTGCTGGGGTGAGGGGGGAGGGCTGTCGTCACTTTCAACCAGCATCCCTAAAGGAGCAGCTTTAGG